TGCGTGCGTGCGTGTGTGCGTGTGCGTGCGCGTGCGCGTGTGCGTGTGAGTGTGTGTGGGCATGCGGTGAGTGTGTGTGTGTGTGTGCGTGCGTGCGTGCGTGCGTGCTGTGCGTGTGTGTGCGCGTGCGCGTGCGCGTGTGCGTGTGAGTGTGTGTGGGCATGCGGTGAGTGTGTGTGTGTGTGTGTGTGTGTGCGTGCGTGCGTGCGTGCGTGCGTGCGTGTATTTTATGTATATATATATATATAATTGACATGTGGATTGAGGTGTGTTTATTAATATATATAGGATAGGATGAATTTTTAATTTAAATTTAATAGGATTAAAAAAATAGAATAGGATGTTAATTATATATATCAAGAGCAGATAAANACAAGTGAACGTCCGGTGTGGCGACGTCAGTAACAAGTGAACGTCTGGTGTGGTGACGTAAGTAACAAGTGAACGTCCGGTGTGGCGACGTCAGTAACAAGTGAACGTCTGGTGTGGTGACGTAAGTAACAAGTGAACGTCCGGTGTGGCGACGTAAGTAACAAGTGAACATCCGGTGTGGCGACGTAAGTAACAAGTGAACATCCGGTGTGGTGACGTAAAGTAACAAGTGAACGTCCGGTGTGACGACGTAAGTAACAAGTGAACGTCTCGTGTGGCGACATAAGTAACAAGTGAACGTCTTGCGCGTATGACCTAAGTAACAATTAAGTGAACGTCCGGTGTGTACGACATAAGTAACAAGTAAAAGTCCTGTGTGGCGACGTAAGTAACAAGTGAACGTCTGGTGTGGCGACGTAAGTAACAAGTGAACGTCCGGCCTGGCGACATAAGTAACAAGTGAGCGTCCATAAAACTCATACCGGAGTCGTCGATTGTTGCCGCTGAGAGACGTTCCGTTGTTTGTTTCAGTATCCGTCACCAGAGTGGGACACCGTCACGCCGGAAGCGAAGAATCTTATCAACAGCATGCTGACTGTGAACCCGGCGAAGCGCATCTCTGCCATCGAGGCTCTCAAACACCCGTGGATCTGCGTGCGTATCTATCTATGCTCTCTTGTTTTAGCGCACGTAACCACGCACCTCTTGTTAATGCGTGTGTTACCACGCTCTCTTGTTAAAGTGTGTGTGACAACGCTCTCTTGTTTTAGCGTGCGTATTAACGCTCTCTTGTTAATTAAAGCTTTCTGTCTGTCTGTCTATCTGTCTGCCGATCTGGCTGTCTGTCTGTCTGACTATCTGTTTGTCTGTCTGACTATATGTCTGTCTGTCTGTCTATCTGCCTATCTGTATGTCTGTCTGCCTATCTGTATGTCTGTCTGCCTGTCTGTATGTCTGTCTGTCTATCTGTCTGTCTGTCTGTCTGTCTGTCTATCTATCTGTCTGTCTGCCTGTCTGTCTGTCTGTCTGTCTATCTGTCTGTATGTCTGCCTATCTGTCTGTCGGTCTATCCGTATGTCTGTCTATCTGTCTGTCTGTATGTCTGTCTGCCTATCTGTATGTCTGGCTGTCTATCTGTCTGTCTGTCTATCTGTCTATCTGTCTGTCTATCTGTCTGTCTATCTGTCTGTCT